ATATATATATATATATATATATATTATAAGTTTATGATATAAAAATATAGGATATTAATTTAATTTGATGGAGTTATACATATAAAATTCATTTTAATGGTGCCGACACACTGTTTAGCGCTACTGATCTATACGCTTTATATTAATGTATGTAATATAAATTGTGATAAAGTAAGTGCTCATGAATTTCGTATATTAATAAATAAGATAATTGGTGATAAATTGAGAAAATTAATAATCAAAAGATGTTACAAATTCATGTAAACATTTAAATTCTAAGACGTGCCGGTGTTCATTAAAACGCTGCCGTTTTGTTGTAGCACCTCATAAGCTTAAAACCTTCGGGGCCCTCCTAACAAAAATCTCTCGAGTCGAAATTAGCGCGATAACGGAACCCTAGAGAGAGGACGGGACAGGACACACGTCTAAGTTCATCGAAGATGATAATCCCAGTTCGTTGCTTTACTTGTGGAAAGGTAGATCCTTTTCCTCGGAATCGTCTGGTTTCTGCATATTTGTTTTGATTTCGATGGAATTGGGCACATGGGTTATTCGATTTTTTTAGGGTTTCGACCCAGTTAGGGCTTGCCTGGGTTGAAATCAATGCCTCATTGTCTCGAATCGGTTGTATTTTTTCGTGGGTATTCGATAAAATTATCATGTAGTTGGATTGAAACCTGGTCGGTGATAATTTTTTTTTGGGGTTTCATGGATTTTTGTTTTGTTTTGTTTTGTTTTGATTGTAATGGTTTCAGTGATTGGTGAGATGTTGGACTTTTTATACTGAATTAGGTATTTGTCCGAGAAATAAAGTTTCGAGCTTTACGTGTTTCGCTTGTGAATTTTAGGTGATTGGCAACAAATGGGACACATACCTTGACCTTCTACAGGCTGACTACTCTGAAGGGTAAGTTTGCCTTGTTTGATTTCAGCTCTCATTCACATGGTACTTGTGTTAGATAAAGAGTTTAGGTAGCTAGAGTCATGAAATCGATGACTTCAGATTATTAGCATCGAGCACGTTTCAATTTCGTATCTGTTCCTCCGGAAAGCGAAATACAAGAACAGTGATTCCGGTCCATGATTTGAGCTAACTTAGTTTATGATGCGAATTTTTGGGGTTTTAGTGTGTTAATTTCGTGGTGGAAGAGAGATTGTCCTGATCAGTGTATTCTTTCCAGGCTTGCCTCGCCTTTTCATTCTTGATCTTGTTGGGCTTATAATTTCTTCAAAGTTTCATCTGGTATTTGGATCTTAGTCCCATCTTTTGTTAGTTTTTGTTGAATATTTGGAGTTGTGTTTGTTTTGCCTTTCGGTATGATTGATGCCCACTCCACTCCACTACTCAAGTACTTGACCCGGAGCTTGCGTTGCCTGATGAACCATAATAGCTCGCAACTCTTGTGTCTCATGATTGTCATGATAAATCATAAACCCGATAACTTGGACCGTTATATTTGTTGGATAATTGTCCCAAGCTCTATCTATGAAGTTGTCGGGAGTAATTCTTGGTGGGTTTTCGTAGATGTTTTGTTTTCTTTTCTACCAGATACTGTTAGCAATGGCCAGCTCGATATGCCAATATTAGTATATTTCAACTTTTTTGAGTACTGGTAGCGAGTTTCCTATCGTATGATTGTGGAAAACTGAAACTTTAAATGTCGGGATATGCAGAGATGCCCTTGATGCCCTCGGGTTAGTCCGCTACTGCTGCAGGCGGATGCTTATGACTCACGTCGATCTCATCGAGAAGCTTCTGAACTACAACAGTACTCAGCTCTTTCCTCTCGATTTTACGCCTATTTTATGCATCAGCTTACTCAGTTGTAGTTCCACTGCTGGTATCTCTCTTCTTTACCGGAATCTTTTCTCTCTTGCAGCCCTCGAGAAATCCGACAACAGCTGAAGGAAAACCAAGCCATGTCTGAATCACAAACACTTATGAAAGTTGTTTCTCTCTTTGAAGTTCTCTGAGTGTTTGGCTTTTTTGCTTTGACAGCATTGACTGGGGAGAGGATTAGTTCGAATCATGTAACTGTCTCATAAATGCACTTCATATGCTAATTTCTGATATATATATATATATATATATATATATATAGTGTATATATACTATTACGTAATTTTCTATTTTTAACGGACGAAATTAAAAATGTATATAAAGTTTGTTTCTACGCTTTTTTCTAGATTTTGCAAACAATTTTTTTGATTGATGTATAATTATTTTGTATATATATATATTTAAAGATAAAAAATTATTAAATAATTAGAGTATCTAACAATAC